GTTCAATTAATAAAACAGGGACAGCAGGAGAGTAGCAAGTTTGTGCTTTGGGGAAATGACTGGGTGTGGCCCAGTATGACTCCGCCCCCAGAACAAGGTATGGGGCAGAACCCCCCTGACTCTTGAGTCTAGGTCATCACTGTTTCAAATATGCTTTTTAGAAAGCAGCATGGGGGAGGGGGCACACGCAGTGATGTCAAGCACCCAACTTCCCAGGTCCCTAGAACAAGGAGCCTTCGCTGCTTTTGGATCTGGGAGCAGCCTCTTCCTAGGGAGCTGCAATGTGTCACGGCAGACACAGCTACCGAGTGTTCACTGCTTTCTGGCCCGGCACAGCTGGGACTGTGCACGACTGTAGAGTTGCCTCTCTCCAGGCACCGTGTACGCCAGCTGCCTCTACCAACAGCCTACAACAAGCTCATGTGGCTTCTGGTGACTGATACGCTGCTGGCCTTGGAGTTTTTATGTCATACTGAGGAGAGAGCAGGGGGAGAGGAAGCTGACCCTGCAGCCAGTGGTTCAGAATCATGCATTCCAGAACCAACTGTTCAACTGCTGAGACGTGGCAGGGCCGCAGCTAGCCTCTACTGTTTCACACAGGCTTAGGCCAAACCTGAACCCCTCGAGAAGGTTCTCTGTGACTTGGGGACTGTGAGGTGCTGCTCCACAGGGCGTGTGAGGAGCATGTGGGGAGCAGTGGGGAGCACGTGAGGGCAGCAGAGCCAGGGTGAGTTTGAAGAACACCAAGGAAGATAAAATAGATTTAAAAGGTGCTAAGCAGTAGGGGTGGTTTTAAAACACAAGTAAGGCCCTTGGCCTCTCTCAAAACCTCTGATGCCTTTCTATACCAGGTCAGACTCCTGGGGTCAGTCCTGAGTGTAACACTGGGGCCAGGTGGGGACGAGAGGGATCAGGACAGCCCAAGACACCTGACAGAGCCTTGGAAACTCAGTTTGGAACTGTTTAAGTTTCCTTTACAAATGTCTGGATGTCAGTCCAATTAAAACCAGAAAAGCAGCCAGGCTTGGTGACACAGGCCTGCTGTCCGAACTCCCAGGAGGCTGAAGGAGGAAGACTGAGAGTTCAAAGCCAGCCTGGGCTATATACAGAGAGAGTTCTAGGCCGGCCAAAGCAACTTAGTAAGACCTCGTCTCAAAATGAACCAGGAGAAGTAGACTTCCACTGTAGTTCAATGGGAGAGAGCCTGTCCAGCATGCATAGAATCCTAGGTTCAAATCCCTGGTAACTACAAAGCCAACTGGCCAACCTAGAAAAGCCACATTGCCAGGGAACCAAACAAAAACCGCAGGCAGTTTAGCAGGAAGAACAGGCCCAGAGGGGTAAGCGCCTTGGCCAATATCGGGGCTTACAAGCCTCCAGGACTTCACAAGTCCAGAGCCCTGTGTCTGTCCACCCTGCCACTCAGGAGGAAGTGAGACAGACAGATACAAATGTGCACACGAGTGGCTAATACTTGTAACCGCTGAGCCCAGGGGCTCACGTGCCAGGCCTTACAAAGGGAAACGAGAGAGGAAGGTCGGTAAATGATGAAGATAGTCTTGGCCTCAAACCTCTCTCCAACCTGGAAGCTGGATGACCCTGCAGACCCTACAGCAGCAACCACTGGGGGCCTCCGTGCTCTGAGCTTCCGCTGCTGTGAGAAGAACCAAGCTAAGCATCTAGGCCAATGGCTGGCACTCAGCGAGCCCTGTAAGTTCAGCCAGGTTTGTAATCACTGAGGTTTGCAAAGGGCAGACTCTGGACTGTTTATGACATCATCCTCCTCCTATCCCCAGGAGGTAGCAGCCACTTGTACTCTGCTCTGCAAACTCAGCCCAGGGGTAGCGAGCAGCAACAGCTCCAGGCCTGGTTTCCAAGTGGAGAGGCGGTGCCAGCTCTCTGACCCTGCCATCTTTCTGCCACAAACCAGCCTAGGTCAAGAGCCTGATAAATGTGAGCATCCGATACATCGCAGCCGGGCCACCAGCTGCCATCTCTTCAGCAGTCATGTCCCCCCTTGTCCTCCTCTGCAATTTCTGGGGCTTGGCCCAGCCCTCCAGCTATTTCAAATGACTCATGGCCACAATTCCTCCTCAGCCCGCAGCTTGGGATGGGGGAGAGAGGCATCCCAGACCTCTGTGGTATGTCTGACGCTGGGCCACTTATGGCCCACTGTAATGTATACCCTCCCAGGCAGCAAGACACGCTTGATACCCAACAAGTACTATTCAGGAGAACTTCCGTGAGGTCAGTTAGCAAATCAAAGCCACCCAAAGCATACCTGAGCTCTCGAAAAGAGATACACTGTGAAGCCACATGACCCACAGTCTAGCAACAAATACACCCACAATGCCCCGGTGGCTTTCTCTAGCTCAAGATACCATCATGTAGAGCTCTGAGGATGTACCTCCATTCCCCAGCAGGGACACAAGGTCTAGAGAGCTTCTTCACCAAGTAACTTGTGGAGAATGGTGGGGCTACATCCAGTGCCTGGGGCTCTGCTTCCCCTGTTAGGTCACCAGCCATAGCCAGGTGACACCATGCTGGAGCTGGGGACCAGGACCTGCAGGGCAATGCTATTTTAAAGCCTGCAACAGGTAACTACCAGAAGCCTGGACTGTAGAAATCAGACTCCCTTCAAGAATGTAGCTCGAGGCTATGGAAATAGTTCACTGAGTAAGATAAGAGATCACGCTAGGCTATAGCCCGTGGACTGGGTCTCCAGCATACCTGGAAAAGGCTGGGTGTGGTGGTACACAGTTTTGATTCCAGCGGTTAAGAGGCAGGTGGGTGTCTATCAGATCCAGGCCAGCCAACACTACACAAAATGGCCTTGTTTCAAAAAGGGAGAAAAACAAAAAATAAGTCTGGGCCCAGCATCACTCGCTTGCAATCCCAAAGTTTGAGATATAAATCAATCAGGAGAGTCTCAGAGGCTCCTTGGTTGGCTGCTCTAGGCAAAATGGCAAGTTCTAGGTTGAGTGAGAGACTGTGCCTCAAAAACCAGGATGGAGCTCGATAGAAAGACGTCCTGGATCAACCCTCATCCTACATCCAACATCCCCAGACCCAGCACGTGCATACACACATACCACTCACAATAATTATAAAAGGAATGCAGTTCTATTGGCAGAGTACTCTTCTAGCACGCCCAAAGTCCTGGGTTCCAACCCAGCACTGAATACAGAAGGTGTCACGATGCACTCCTGAAGAGCACTCAGGAAGTGGAGGCAGGATCAGAAGTTAAAGTTCATCTTAGGTTCCACAGTGAAGGCCAGTCTGAGTCACAGGAGACCCTGTCTCAACACACACACACACACACACACACACACACACACACCCCTCTATCTCCCTTTCTGTGGGAAGCACGCTGTCTCTTTTGTAACCTCACCTCACCCAGCACAGGAAGAGGGTGTGCAGGTCCAGGCCCCAACCCCAGCAGGTACTGAGGCTATCAACCATAAATCTGCTCACCACTCCTCCTTCCTCACTCGAAGGTCCGAAGGAAACGCCCGGATGACACACAGGGTACCCCCCTCAGTGCACTCATGAACCAGAAAATCATTTATAACAAATGCGTTAAAGCCGGGAGGATTCTGACTGCTTCAGAAGAGAGTAAACATATTCAGGATTATGGGAACCCTCAGGCCAGGCAGGTGGCACAAGCCTCTAATTCCAGTACTCAGGGGCTGAAACCGGAGAGTCTGGGGTTCAAGGTCAGCTTGGGCTACACAAGACCTGGTCACAAACATCATCACGACTATCACACACCAGAGGCAGTAAAGTGGTAAAGCACTTTGGGAGTTTGGCATCTCCTCAACAGGTTAAACTTTAAAGGGATCTTATAGCCCAAGGACCCCAGTCCTAGGTTAAGTATTTAGGCAGAACTGAAAACATTCATATCCCAAGAAATACAGGCATGTAGTATTCCCAGTAGCAGTACTAGTCAGAACCTTAAAGAACCATCAACCCACTGTCCATGTACAAGCCAATGGACAATACACACACACACACACACACACACACGGAGTATATCCACACTAGGAAATACCATCCACATGAGAAACCATACACAAAGCAGAGAAATTCATAGACAGACCGTAGGTGTAGATGAAGGTGGGCTGGGGCCTGGGGAAAGAGGTTTGGGAGTTGACTGCTGCTTTGGGGGAATGTACAAATGTTCTAAAAGTAGACAACGGGGATCAGTGCGTAATGTGAGCATCCTAAAACCCACCACCTAAAGTTTACATCCAAAGGGTGAGCTGTACCGTTAGCGGATCAGATCTTCAGAAAAACTGTTACAAAAATCCTCAGATACGGTTTTTAAAACAAGATATGGTACACGGATAAGCCCGAGCCGAGGCGAGGCGGGTACAGCGGTTCACGAATAACTTAAAAACAGCTTCTTCAGGATAACGAAACAAACCCAGTTCTGCATGCCCGGAAACAGAGGCTGGAGAAAGGGCATGTCCCCAATACTTAAGCCGGAGCCTCCCAGCTCGATCTGCCCCAACGCAGAAGCTGGGCCTAACTAACCATCGGGCAACCCTGCTACGATGAAAGAAACAAGGGGTGGGGAGGGCGAGGAACAGTGTGGACACTGGGAGAAGGGGGTACAGGGGCAGCCACCTCTGGGATGGGATGGGGGGTGAGGGTCGCACGCGCGCGCGCGCGCACGGAGCCCCGCGGGGAGAGTTCCAGCTCCGTCCTGGCTGCGAGTCCTAGCGGGGCCGGGCACGTGACCGCCCAGGCCTCAGTTTCCCCACGTGTGAAGCAGGAAGCAAGCCAGCAAGCAAGCGGGGCAGAGCGAGAGGTCTGCGCGTTCTAAGAAACCACCGTGGGCCGCGACCTCCGCAAGTTAACTTCCCCGCGGCGCCACGCGGGTGGGGCTCCAGGCCACGCGCGTCCTCCCGCGGAGCCCAGGCCTGGCCGCGCCGCCCACCGTCCCGACCGCGCCACGCAGCCCTAACCCGGTACTGGCCAAGGCCGCCGCCACCTACCGTGCCCAAATCGGCGCCCGCGCAGACTCCGGCTCCCTGCCGGCCGCCAGGGAGGCGCCGCGAGGGGCGGGGCCGCGTGTCGTGACGCAAGGGGCGGAGCCACTTGTGATTACGCCCCGGTCGCCTATCGCTTGACCACGCCCCCTGTCGCCTACCGCTCGAGTCGCGCCGGAGGACTCCAGGCTTGCCCGGAGGCCTGAGGGCGGGACCTAGATAGGCCCTGCCCACACACACGGCCTCGGCCACGCCTCCTCCCCAGCTCCCCCTCTAGCTAAGGGAGGGCCGCGCGCCGTGACGCAAGGGGTGTGGCCGAGAGAGCCCGCCCCTTCGCGCGTTGCCCCGCCCTCGCCTCCTCCCCGTGGGCGGAGCTCCTGCTGCATAGGGTTTACTGCTTTGGCTCCTTTAGCTACGCAGGGCGTTCCTCCTCAGAACGGCGCCCACGAGGGCGCAACCACCAGGCCGGCGTTCAGACGCTGAGCAGGCTGGCTGTCCGTCAGCGTAGGGGTGTGCACTGTAGGTACAGGATTGCATCCCAGAGAGCAGCCAGCCCGAGGTGTGCAGAGCAAAGGAAAGGGTGCAGGCTAGCCTCTCACTGCGTCCTCTATAGCCTCCTTTTACACCGCGCGCGCGGTGTGTGTGTGTGTGTGTGTGTGTGTGTGTGTGTGTGTGTGTGTGTGACCAGTTTAAAATACATTTCTGGGGCCGGAGAGATGTCTCGTTTGGTAAAGACACTTGCAATCCCCGAAACCCACGCAGAGATGGAAGAGGAGAACCGACTCCACAAAGTTATTCCCGACCTCCACACGTGTGCCTTGACACACACAGTAATATACATAAATAAATATTGAAAATAAAATCCTGGTGTTTGCGAGATGGCTTAGTGGGTAAGAGCACCTGCCTTCAAGCCTGATGACCTGAGTTCCGTGAGGGACCCGCATCATGCAAGGACACCCCCTCCAAACAAGTTGTCATTTGATCTCGCCCGGTGCTGTGAAATAATATCCCCCATACCTGTACAAAAATAAATGTAATGCATTTTTATACTAGTTACAAATGTCTATACAGGCCAGACAAGGCAAAGCACACTCAGATATGTGTTTGTCATTCATTCATGTATTCCATAAAACAGTACCCGCCCTGTGGGAGATGCTGGGCTGACAAAGTCCCAGCCTTGGTGAAGCCAGTTACCAAGAATGAAACCACGCGGCGTAAGCATTTACTGAGTGTATATTTGAGACTTTGTGTGACTAACGTCACAGCTCTGGGAGTTTTATACTATTTATGGGTGAAGAAAGATCAAAGAGGTCTGCCTGAAGGGGACTTCTGCTCTCCTGAGAGCTTTCTCTGGGCTTTACATTTTCACAAGTAAGCTGGATTCCCCTTCCGAACACCCCCCCCCCCAACACCAACAAGTACAGCAGTGTCTGGAACTGGCCAGGCAGGAGTAGGAGCCAAAGCTGGTCCAGGGAGAAAAGATGAAGTGCTTACCTCATGACCCGAAGCACAGGCGGGGTGGCGTGTGCGACTAGTCATGAAAAGTACATTAGTCACAGCAGAGACTGGGGCGGCTGGAACAGGATCCAGTAAGGAAGAGGTCAGCCTGGGGCCTTGCATGAAGACAGGTAGGCAGGATGTGGTGGAAGGGGAGGGTGCAGCCCAGCTCCTGTGCACTGAGGAAGGACATCTTCACGGGGTCCTGCTGAAATGGAGTCAGGGAACATGTTCATCAGGGAAGGATGTGGCTAGCTGAGTTTCTGTAAAGACCTCTCTGGGTGCTCTTAAGAAGGAACAAACAGGGCTAGTTAAGCATCCCAGGGTAGGCTAAGGACGCAGAGGAAGGATTCTGCTTCCAGAGATGTTAGGAAGACAGGAGAGGCAGATATGAGTGAATGGCTAGAGTGGGCATTCTCTCAGTCACCCAGGTTAGCAAACATTTGCAGATTTCAATCTGACTGTCACCTTCTGGAGCGTTAGGACCCTCCTGACGCCTTGTGGATCAGCCTGGGAATCATATGTGACTTTGGAGGCAGATGGGTGAACAAACCATCCCTGCCCCTGGACTGGGACCTTCTGGGATGGGCATCTCCTTCATCGGATCTCTGACCTGCTTCCTTAAGCAGAGTCATACAACACGGCACTTAGGGTAGTCTCCAGAGGATGTTTGTCAGAAGCACGGGATGGAGAAGTAGCACCAAGCATGTAATTCTAAACTCTTCCTAGCACTGACCCTCCCCCACACCCCCAGGTTATAGTGATGCTATAATCTCAATGGCTATGCCTTTTTCAGGCTTTTGCTATACTTGTAGCTGTTCTGAAGAGCATCCGGGGCCTGGGGATGTGGCTGAGTAGTAGAGCCAGATGAACACACTCGGGACCCCAGAGTCCCTCCCCAGAAGCACTGGGTTTGCTCTGTTTGTTTTTCTTTTAAATAATTTCCATTGCTTTCTCACTCTTTCCAATAGCCTTCTGAGGTTTTTTTTTTAAATCATCATACCCATTCTACAGATGAGGAAACAGAGGCTCAATCAGGAAATGTTGTTTGAGGACTACAGCCGCCTGTTAGTACTAATGTAAACTCAGGTATCTCGCACCCCTCCCCCCCCCACTCCCTGCCCAGTGCTCTGGCATCAGCAGGCAGCAGGCAGTGGGTTCCTTCTCTGCTTGTGGAGTTACCCTTTCTTTCTGGTCAGGCTTCAGGAAACACTCTTTGATCTCTGACTCAGATGACTGGGTGCCATGGCAATATGGTTCCAAACAAGGTGGTCATCTCTGGTGTGTGTGTGTGTGTGTGTGTGTGTGTGTGTGTGTGTGTGTGTGAGAGAGAGAGAGAGAGAGAGAGAGAGAGAGAGAGAGAGAGAGAAACCTGAAATGTGGCAATATGGCTCCAAACAAGGTGGTCATATCTATTTTGGGTGTGTGTGTGTGTGTGTGTGTGACAAGGTGTTCCATTAGCCAGAAGCTCACCAACTAGGCTGGACTGGATGGCCCAGAAGTCCTAGGAATCTTCTCATCTCTGCCTCCCAGTGCTAGTGCTAGGCTTACCAACACAGTCTACTACACTCCACATTCTCACATGGGTTCTGGGCACTGAATTCAAGTCTGGATGCTTCAATGCAAGTGCTCTGGTGACTGACTAGTCTGCCAACCCTTTCTTTCCTTCTTTCTTTCTTTCTTTCTTTCTTTCTTTCTTTCTTTCTTTCTTTCTTTCTAACAGTCAGTCTCACAATGTAGCACAGGTTGGTCTTGAACTCATGGCTGTTCAGCCCCTGCTTCCCAAGAGCTAGGATTAGACACACACCATCATCACCCGTCTCAAATGCCCACCTTTTCAAAGCCTCCGAGGACACCCTGGAACCATGTCTTCTCCCTTCAGTTGCTACATGCCCTTCAATGTCTGATGCTGACTGGGTTGTGGTCGGTGACCCCGAGCACTTCCGGGGCTAGTCCTTTCTACTCTTCGAGCGACCCATGTCCTCAAGCCTGAAAGATGTGGGTTACCCCTGTCACCATGGAAATAGTGCTTCATCAGAGAGACGCTCTGTCTTCCCAAATATTTGGATCAAAGATTCAAGATCTTGGATCTAGTAGGGCGTGGGAGCTCAGCTGAATTGCAGTTGTAAGGCCAGTGTGAGGAGCAGGACTCCAGGCTCCTGGAGAAGCTTCCAGAAAGGTGGGCCTTGAAACCAGCCCCTGCTTTCTTTCAGGGTCACCCCCAAATCATGTTTTGAGTTGTGGTTGAAACTGGGTTTCGGTTTCAAGACACATGGTGGTTTCTCATGCTCTAAAGTTCTTCTCCAGGTGGTCGGCACCTCACATTTCCAGGGCAGGCTGGAGTCAGGACCCAGGGCAGGGCTGACAAGTTGAGCCTGTCTGTTCACCCTGGCCGAGTGGGTTTTCTTTCCCTCTGCAGTGTTTATTTTGCTGAGAGTCTTTTGTATGTTTTGTTTTTCTTACAGATTGTCTTATGTGCTCGTAAATTTTGCTAGCCAAACAATAAATAAATAATAATAAAAAAAAAGTACTGACTGTTAATCCCTCCTGGGCTTTTGTGTTTGTTTGGGCAAGTATATGTATCTAATCTCAAGGATGCTAATTTGCCCAATTTTTTTCACCTGTCAGTACCCTGGAGAAAATACGGATTTCACTGAGCTGAGAGCGACTAGGAAGGAGTTTGAAAATTAAACAAGCTGCTGAATACCAATTTTCTTTCTCTCCCTCTCTCTCCCTTCACTCCCTCTTCTTCCCCTACCCCCTTTCTCTCTCCAGGGTCTCAAGTGGCCCAGGCTTACTCCAACTCCTTATATAGCAGAAGATAACCTTGAATATATGATCCTCCTGCCTCCACCTCCCAATTGTTGTGATTATAGGCATGTGGTACTAGACCCAATATTTTCTGTGAGGGAATCAAACTCAGGGATCCAGGCAGGCTAGGCAAGCACCAACCAACTGAGCTGTGCCTCTAGCATCTGTTTGTCTTTTTTCTAGGACTCATCAGATTGACATGAGTAAAAACAACCATCATGTAAATAATATCAAAACCATCCTTTTAACAACCACGGGATAAAACTCTGAACAACTAGCAAGCCATTGACTCGACTCGATGGAAATCACCTTTCTCTTTCAGGCAGTATGTGCCATCCTGCTATTAGCAGGACCTTGGAGCTAAGAAAGTGTGCCAGTTAAGTTCTTGTGGATCGTGACTGTAGGGCTCTGCTCGGAGACAACAATCCCTCCACTCAGAAGGTGGAGGCAGGAGGATCAAACATTTAAAATGATCCTTGGCTATGCAATAAATTCAAGGCCAGCCTGGACTATTATATCAAAAAGGAAACAGGCAAAGAGATCTGCACTCACACACCATAGGAGCTCAGGGACACCATAGGAGCTTGGGGTGGAGGAAAAGGAAGGAAGGGGAAGACAGACAGACAGACAGACACAATGGTAGGAATTCGCCAGCTCAGGGTGAGGATCTCTCGGAAGCTTGCATTTAGAATCAGTCCTGGAAGATTAGTGATTTGTTGCCAAGAACCGTAGCTTCAGAATCTTGAGTTTGGAGGGAAAGTCAGGCTACTGAT